ACAACCACCACAAATAGATGCTTGCCACATTGATGCTGTAGAGTACGATGGCTGTAATGGCAAAAGCAACTCCTGATAGATTCAGAACCACACTGACGGTGACCTAAAATTTAATAATAATAAGATTTGTCAGTTTACGTACAACCAAGCAGAAAAACCACACCAGGCAGTAAACAGCATACAGTACACTAACAGAATTTAAAAGACCACAGACTGTATCATCCATTTACACTGATAGGTCTGTATCCCTGCAGTGGAAACAGCTGGGTGGCTGGTATTTACATTAGGAAGCCCCTGCAACTCTCCATGTGACGTTACAAGTACAAATGCCTAAATGCCTTTTGAAATACGACAAGTCATTTAAAGATAATATGAGGATGTCGAACTACTCACCAGACATGGGCTGGGATACTTCTCAGACAAAATGCTCAGGGTGCCAAATAACATAAACTAGAGAAAAGACAAAAAAAATTAAACTTCCACACTAAAATTCACATGTAATTTCTAGAATCATTGACTGAGTGAACAGCATTTTGAGCACAGAGAGGGAAACTAAGAAACACTCATCATGCGCTCACACTAGCGGACAAGAGACAAAGACACCTGTTCTTATTACTGTCATCTGAGGACTAAGAGATTAAAATGTCCAATAACAAAAAAAAAATTGCGTTAAGACAGAAATCTGCAATGTAGCAGGGGAGGCACATTTGCAATTAGTAGCATTAATGATGGCTGAACTGTATTTTTATTTGTGACCTTGGTACAGTACATGATAGTTCACTGTAATGGCTTTCTTTAACATCTGAATGAAGCTGAGCATGAAACATCATTAATGTCATTAGATCCACCGGTGCTTTTTCCTGCTATGACAGGTAAACATGTCTGATCTGTTCATCCTGAAGGGGACATGAATATCTGAAAAATTCCATGGTTATACATCCAACCTCGTCCATGTTGAGATATTTCACTCACAACCCAAAATGTCAATTTGCTGGTGGCGCTAAATGAAAAGTCAGTTCATTAAGATGCATCATCTGGAAACCATGAAAGAAGATATTCACGAATTAGTGAAAACTTGCTGATGGAGCTGGATGAAAATCTCTACCAGCTCATAAAAAAAACAGCAGCAGGTAGTTAAGATGCTGAATTAAACTTTAATTCAGTCCTTGTTGGCATAGATAGTAGAGGACGTCTTTGTTTACAATGCTGTTGGTACATGTGGTAACAACTGCACTGTACTTGCTGCGTAGAGCCATCAACTCAATTCAAGTTGGCAAAAGTGCCATGGGAAAAAAAGAGTGGAAACCACTCCCTGCTGTAGCTCACCAAATATGTGTGGGATTTTTAGGAATTCCCTGATCAAGTTTTATAGCCCTGATCGAAGCCCTTTAATACTGGTTACCTGCCAATATCCAATATTACAGTCCGATACTTATGTTAAAATAGCAATAAAATATAAGATATTGATTAAAAATGTATCTGGCACATTTAAATAATAGGTGTAACCTAATAGGTTTGGTGCTTAAATTATTGCTATAATATGAATTAAATATCTTGGTTATGACACAAAAGAACAAACAAAAACTACATTAGCTTGCTTACCAATACTCCGAACCAAACAGGAAACAGGTTTTCATTCATAAACCACCAAGGGCCACCAAGACTGCTAACGACGATCACCCCAAAGCCAATGTTGAGCAACCCGACCATAATCTGCAGAGCCTGTGGAGGAAAAACAGGATAACAACAGACAGCTGTACAGCATAACTGCAGTTAAGCAAATGGAATGCCCTTATATGTAGCGCCTTTTTAGTCTTCCGACCACTCAAAAGCACTTTACACATTTCAAAATCACACATTCATACACTGACTGGCCTGCTCTACCTCCAGAGCCGCCTCAGGTGACATTGTGAACACTTCAGTTGTTTAAAGCTCTTACTTAAAACTTTTTTAAACAACTCTTTTAGAGAGTGACATGGACACACAACAAAAATGTGATAATATTTTAAGATAATAACATGCAACTTTGAGCATAGAGCAGTATATTTAGTCAACAGATCAACAATTAGTTTTCAGTTGATTTACTCCAACAATTTGCATATTTGCTCAAAGTTTAAATCAGTATTGAGTGAGGACATTAACTCGAAACACACAAGGTTGTAACTCACCCCCAGTACTAACTGAGACGTCTGGACCTTCTTCAGGTGCTGAGACACAGAGCAGCACACAGGGCTGCAACAAAGGCTCTTGAGGATTTGGCAAAGGGGAGGCCATGGACTTTTGGGGTCAGAGGTCATAGTGAATACAGTGACCCCATCACTCTTGGTCATGGTCAGTGACATCCTGCCTGCTCCTGTGGACTGAAAGGGAGAAAGAGAGTTTGTAAACTTTGAATCTGCGAAATTAAGGTTATTTTTTCTGTTTCTGTAACCTTAAACTAAACAGTTGCTGATTATTATCGTTAAAGTACTGAATCCTCATCATTGCCTGAAATGTGATCAAACTGCCAGTTGTGCACAGTGACTGTCAGTTTTATGTAGGCTAGATTTAGTACAAAACAGTTCTACATGGCCGGAGTATCTAGATGGTGGCTTTATATATATATACAGTGATTCTGTTATTCTATTTTTTATATATAAAAAATAGAATAACAGAATCACTTCTCCTACACCTCAAAATTGATCATGAAGTTGATTCAGCACCTCTCTAAAACAGTTTGACCAGGACCAGTTACCTCATGAAGGTAAGATTTATTTATAGACTGTTGTATTAGACTTGTATTTGTTTTACCTGTAGGTGTAGGCCTACCTAATAAAGTGCCTAATGTTACTGAGTGTACATGAAGTGCAGGACACAAATCATGATGATGGAGTCAAGCCTGCTCACAGTTATTAATGTTACTGTAAGTAAAAAGGTGTCATGGCGTCAGTTCAGATGAAAGGACTTTTCGATGTATTATCCTGACTGGAATCAGATACAGTATGCTGCCTTTCAGACACAAGGAGGTCGACATTTCCTCAAAGCGTTTCAGGCACATGATGCCAAACGTGAAAACATGGATAACCGTGACAAACTTTGTCTACAGACAATTGAACCTTCAACATTTCTCCCGGTGTTCATTAAAAACATGCCAGTTTTAATGAAAAATAGACTATACGTTAGTCTAAATAAGTAAATGTTGTATATTTTCTAATGTTTTCACGTTTATTTTCAAGGTTTTCCTGAATACCTCTTTTGCAGAGATGACTTTCAGTGATTGTTTACCATAACCAGCTAAGTTATAGTTGATGCAGAACAGGTTTGACTAGGCTATTATTTTAATTAAATACAGGCTTTTGTTGATGGTTGATGGTTTAGCAGTTACAACAAGCGCTTCCATGGGTGCTGCTGCTATTGTGACGTTCTACAGCTGCTTCTTCTTGTAGACCGAGTTTAGGAGTAGGAACCCCCGAAATTTGAGTGGCGTTTTTCTCTTTATAGGTCGGAAATATTCGAGTTACGAGTTGTCTGAAACGCGATACAACATCTCAATTCCCACGGATATGCGCCATTAAATGCAGCCTGCTGCATCTTCCCCTTTAGTGCTGTGTATTTTTTACAAAGCTTGTGGCGATAAAACCCGTCTGACAAACATGTTGTTCTCTCCTGATAAGTTCACTTGTCCTCTGGTGAGTTCGACTTTGAAATATTCATCCATCGACAGACTTTATGGGTAAATTCAGTAGCCTAACGGACCATGTGCATAATCTAGGGTTAGCAAACATTTATTTGTGTTTACCTACTTTTACAAACCGTATGAAACAGAACAACGCCTTACCTGGTTGTGTTTATGGGAGAAGAAAAAGCCACCCGACAGACCGATGTGTCTCTTTGTTGCGCAGTTGACGGGAAAAGGGAACTGGTTTCAATCTGTTCCCAGAAGTAGCCTCCTCCTATTTAGAAGCGGAAAAATAACCCTTTGCGGGTCCTTCAGCCAATCTAGGGTTCATGTGCATAATTCTGCTTTGATTTTTATTAGTCCAATTGGTGAAATAGCTCGATTTTATTTAAATGGAACGTTATTGCTTTATTTTTTACGGTAAATGTTTGATGAATGATTGTTTTAATATTAAATTACATTTTTACATTATTTATAACGATCCATTACATTTGTTTATTTAAGAACCGTGATCATATGTACAGACCTGCAACAGTTGAAAAGAAACATAACAATGATCTCTGAAGGACAAACTCTGTAACAGCAACACAGTAATACCTCAAATATGTCTTGTGATTTTCTTTTTTTCCCTTTTACTACAGTTTCATGTAACTTGTCGGCTAACATAAATGCCAGTATTATATAGCCAATCTAATACTGAACATACTGCTGCAATTCACAATGACAATATGGACCATAAGCAACTTCAAGCTGTAATGTCAGCAGGAGACATTCAGTCTTCCCTGCATTATTGGAACCTGCCTAATGCAGCTAGATTTTTAAATATTTAAGCATTGTGGATTTGTTGTAAAGCCCCTGTTGAGTCTATGAAAGGCTTGCATTATTATTTATTATTATTATTAATATTATTATTATGTAACTTAAAAACCTTGATGGCCCTAATGAAAACTATTAATTCTTAATAAACCTGTTTGTTCTAGAATCAAGCACTTCTTTATCTAAGACATAACATATTCCTGCTCCATCTCTCTGTTGTCAAATACTACTTTTCAAATGTTTTTTATATAAAATATTCTTACCTATAAATGCAACAGTAATAATAAAATAACACTGACAGCAGTCACTTGGCTACATAAGCAAGTAATTTAGTAAAACTTTGAATGCAGTACTTCTACTTGTAATGATATAAAGAATTTTACACAAATGTATTGCTACTTTAACTAAGATAAAACATCTGAGCACTTATTCCAACACTGTTATTACAAAGATCATTTCATAAGGGAGTATTAAACTTCATGGAAAGTAAATGAGATGCAACATCATTGAGCAACACAACTTCAGGTGAGGATAAAATGAAATTTATTTTTGTCATAATTATGGGCAAAACATTTTGCTTCCATTTGCTTCCAAAATTACACAGTGGATACAACTGACAAAGACAATGAGATTATTTTTTAGATTACATTTTGGAGTTCCAGATATTTCATCTGTATCAGAGTGTGTACAGATAGGAAAGATACAGGAACTTCATAGTGGTCCATCAGATCCAAACCCTCAACCTTTCAAATGAATGGTGCACATAATTATTGAACCTCTACCAGTTTAAATTACTGCATGCGTCTTATCCGCTGCGCCATCACCACCCATTTATGTTTAAGTTGGCAACAGTTTGAATGAGGTCAATGCCAGGGAAGTTCATGGCAATGATACCAAAACATGGTCTGGGCTGATTAGGGTAAAACTGTCTCAGGTATTGATTGAGCCATGGATTTACCTTTTCAGCCACTCTTTTTGGAGTCAGAAACATTCCCCAGAAAGTACCAAAGCCAGTGCCGCTAGTGTAAGTCACAACAGCATTATCACCTCCACAGGCTAGAGTGGCTTGGCTCAGCTGCTTGATTATTTTGTTGTCTTTATCGTTAACGTTGGTGACTTTGGAGTTACCTTTCCCATTTGTATCAATAAGGGGAATTCCAAGTGTGAAGGTGTTCATCTGCAAAAAGACAATTTTCCCCCTAATCTGACCCATAGTTGGCATTGCAGAGGACACCCAGAAACGCTGGTCATTGCCAATCAGACTCTGCACCATTTCATTTACAGTGGTCTTCTCAAAAGACTCTGGTTGCACTCTAATGAGCACAGCCTCGGTCTTAAACTCTGACAGGAAAGCCTGGACAGTGTCTATGACGTCCTTGAGAGTGCTGTGTTGGTACATCACTCCATGCATGACATAGAGGGTGTTACCCAGTCCAAACACTTTGAGATCCAGGAAACGAATGCCAGCCCTGAGCTGATCCTTCAGGGACAAGGACTGGCATTCGAGCTCTGGACCTCCGTACAGGGCCATGCTATCATGGGTGCCAGGGATGGTGAGGAGAGAGAGGGCGCGGAAATCCTCGATGCCTGACATCCATGGAATATTGTAGGACCCCGGGAGTATGAGGTTTCCATTGTCATTGAAGAACAGGTCTTTTCCATGGCACATAAAACTGATGATTTAGAACAAGATTTTGAGATGTTACAATAACTCCAATGCCATGAGGTTGCAGCTTAAAAACAATCTAACCATTTATTTAACTTGAAAAACTTTTAAATTATAGCCTACTTACGTGACAGACAACAAAACGCAGTGGAAAAGCAGACACCTGTGACCAGCCTTCATTCTTCCAGAGATATGAGCAACCTAGCAAATAATTTGTAAAATTAAAATTATGCATCTATCACATCAAACTCATTAACTTTGAATAAAAGACATGTATAGAAAATGTACTAATTAATTATCCAAGGTAAGCATACAGTTGAAAGGTTTTAATTAACAGTGTCAGCTAAAATGATTTATTATTACTTTTTTTTTACTGTACCTTACAGCCAGGAGGATTTCACAGCAAACCACTCTGATGGTCAGAATGTGAAAACTCAACAGAACACCCATAATTTATATTGCTTGGTTATCTGGAAAATTCTAGGTGTGGGTCATAAATATCAGTTGCATGATTCAGACTGATTGTTCTTGATGTTGGACAATCAAACATGTTTACAGATTGTGGTGTTTGAGAGGTGTGTCCCTTTAGTGGAAAAAGATCAGATTTCTAACAGGCATTATCTCCAAAGCAAGCAGCCACACCAGTGCAGCTAAACAATGACTAAACCATTTGTAAAAATTTGTGCCAAAATTATGCCAATTTCTTTTGCCAACAATAAATAAACAAAACCTTATCACTCAGTGAAAGCAGGGCAAAACTGAGGCACTGCTATGCAATAGGCTAAATGTTTCTATTCTTATGTTTCTGTATGTCAGCTAGGAGGACTTGGTGCTCTGCAGTTTATATATCACCTATTCATTAGTTACTAAAAACTATTTGAATAGTTACTAGTTAGTTGTTTTAGTACTCGAGACCGGTCTTGTCTCGGTCTCGGACATTGAGGACTCGGGATTTTATTTCAAGACCAGTCAGGACCATAACTTTGGGAATATCAATAAATTGCTTTTGCATTGTCTGTTAACATCCTAACTCTGACTGGAAGTAAAACGTATTGCTTCAAATGCAACCAAAAACCCTAATTAAACATGTGTTGTTCCCGTTAACGACTGTCACCCCTCCCCCCAATGCTTAAGTTGATTTCAGCTCTTAGTGTTTGTATGTGGATGTTTTAATGGGAAAGTGGATCTTTCACATCACTTTGAGAAGTAGGCCTACCTATGATCTCGTTCCACATTTTATTGTGTGCCATGCAATGCAGGGAACTGGTCTTGTTCTTGACTCGGTCTCGCCCTCCCTCGGTCTTGGTCTTGACTGCTCTCAGCCCATAAAAGTCTTGGTCTTGTCTCGGTCTTGATAAACTCTGGTCTTGGTCTTGACTTGGTCTCGGTTTGGGCGGTCTTGACTACAACACTAGTTAATAGTAACTATTTCTATTTTACTACTATCTATTCTCTTTCTAAAAAATAAGCAATAGTAAGTAAAAAAATAAGCACTATCTAAATAATAGATAGGCTACTAGTAAAATGTAAATAATTACTAGTAACTAAAATCGGAACTGCAGAGCCCCATATATTTAAATGGAAAAAATGTATGGCAAGCCGTTTTAACATTAATTCCTTAAAACTTATAGCCTATTAGTTGCTAATTAAAATCTAACCTAACCATTCCTGTTTTAGTAGTAACAATTGATTAGATACTAGTAGCTTACTTAATTTTTAGTTACTAGTAGCCTAACTATTCCATTAGTTACTAGTAACTATTTTTTAGAAGGCTAACTAAAAATTAAGTAACGTTAGGCTAGTTTCTAATCAATTGTTACTAGTAAAACGCTATTTAAAATAGACAATGAGAGATATCTTATGTTTAAACGAAAATTAGCCTATAGTAGACTAATTCAGGTAAGTTAGGCCGGTACGTTTCTGAATAAATTCCATTAAATAGTATAGTATGAAATATAAATGCGTGTAAGGATAACATCAAAATGAAAGTGATTCATGTTTTATCGGTGTTGGACGCCCTGAGATGACAACGGGCTCATACAGTTTATGTTCAAGACCTGACTTTGTCCCAAAATTTAAAGCTGTCCTTTAACTAACGCGCGATGGATGGCAGCTACACGCCGATGAAGCGTCAACTCTACCGGAAATACCAACGAAGAAGAGGGTGAAGTAAGATGGCGGAGAATAACAGCACGGACCATACTGGGGATACCAACGTAGATAAAAATGTTTCTCCCGGAGCATCAATGATGGTGGTCACCGTCAAAACCCCGAATGGGAAAGAGGAAATTACGATTTCGGAGGATTCTTCTGTCGCCCAGGTGCGTTAACTGACCTTTTTTTCAACATCTGGCAGCGAAAATCATGCTACGATTAATGTTACAGAGCGACCCTTCGCAAACCTTAGGGGAAAGGTAAAAACGTACATTTTAAAAAATGTTTTCAACAGCGGCTTGCGTCGTCAAATGCATTTTCGTTGTCCCACATATGTCTAATTTCTTTCCGCAATAATAAAATGTTTGCCCGGGGCGAAACTAACTTTTAGACCCAATATTTGGAAAGACAGTAGGCAGCTGTGTGATTACGGAAATAGCAGAGAAGTTCGCTCATGAGAGCTAACGTTAGCTTTGCATTTGTGGGATATCGCGACATTTAAGTGTGACGCTGACGTTAACTAACAGTTACATCATTTTGGGTTGATGAAACTGCAGTGAAAATAGTGTTTGTTCACTTTGCCCTGAATCGATAACGACTCTAAGATAGCCATTATCCTGTTATCGGCCCACCGTTCAGAGTGACCAGCCGCCGATAGTTACACATCTGAGTGACTGTTGAACAACATGACTAAGCTAATGTAAGAACTGATAATAAATATTATCTGTGAAACTATTTACACTGCTAACTAGATGGGCTCAACCCCTCTTGTGCAATAACCTGGTCAACCGTGCAAGGGTCCTCGAAGTTTGCTGTCTAGTCGTTTGCCTACCAAGTTCACACTGTAACTTACAGTAGATGTCATTCATCAGATTTTGCAAGGAGACCAAGAAACCAACCAGTCTCCTCCTTCTTGTGTTGGACTCCAGGTTTTCTGTATGTTACTCTGTGGTAATTTGATGAAAACAACTTTATTTAGGAATAAAGCACCACATGGGTTCAATTCCCACTGTGACCTCCAAAATGTGTCCCCGAGCAAGACACGTAACCCCTAGTTGCTCCAGAGGCGTGCGACCTCTGAGATCTATAGTAAATCTAAGTCGCTTTGGATAAATGCGTCAGTTACGGATGCATATATTATAATTTTTATTATTATATGGTTTTAGAACTAGATTCTGGCACAACACCTCTCTTCAAAAGTGGGCAACAAGATTACATAGTAACAGAGAATTCAGATGAGATTGTACTTTTCTCAAACAAATTTTCAACTACTCAAATTATCAAAAACACAGTTTTTGCACACAGTGAATCTGTACCTCTTTGGGACCTCTAGGCACTTTCACACTATGCCCAGCTGATAATGTACACTTGCTCTTGTCTCATTTGTCCAGTTTAAACAGGAGGTATCCAGAAAGTTTGAGGCCCAGCAGGACCAGCTGGTGTTGATATTTGCTGGAAAGATTCTGAAGGATGGTGATACTTTAAACCAGCATGGTATCAAAGACGGGTTGACTGTTCATCTTGTTATCAAGACAAAGTAAGTACAACTCATGATGTGATCTGTGTAGCTAAAGAGAAAAACCTCAAGCCTGGTAAGAGTTTAATTTGATAGTGGCCTTTTCTCTCAAGATCAACAGGTGGCAGCAGATCTCAGACAAGTGCCAGTTCTGCAACTCCTCAAAATAACAGTGGCAGCACCAACACCTCTGTACCAGACAGAACAGGAGGTGGCACAAGCCAGACACCAACACAACCTGCTAATGCGATAAGTAAGAATGCATACTTTTTTTTAAAATTGCTTGCTTGTTTTTTGCACCACAGTGTGTTGAATCTTCCTGATTCCTATCACATAGATATGCATATAAAATGTACAGACACTGTAAACATTATAAACATGAATGAATTAAACATTAATAAGTCAAAACATCAACTGAATACATGAAGCCATAGGCGTATCATTTTATTTAGGGTTTGTTCCAGAATAGGTTTACATGATTTCAGTTTCAAAACACACCATATTATTGTCATACTGCACATTGCTGCAGCTCCTCTTTTCACCCTGTGTGTTGAATGCTCTATTTTAGCTATCGAGTGATGCATCTCACTTCTAAAAGATCTTTGTTGGGAGTTGCACATGCGCAGTACCTAGTCATAGGCTGAAATCACAGGGGGGTCATGTGCCCCCCCCCCCCTTAAAAACCATCAAATAATATAATGATATATAATTGAAACAATTGTGTAAATAGTAAAACAGTACAAACGCTCACATTGAACGTTAAAAACTGGCTGCGCCGTGTTTCACGTGTGCACAGACAGTAACCTCATGTCACAGCTACAAACATACAGGCTAAAACATGTCTTAGGTGTGTGGAAGTTATTCACGAGAGTGAAGAAGACTCGGCGCTCACTACATCTGCAGAGAAACTCACAGAAAGAGACGCTGTGGATATTGTAAAGCAGGGAGCAGGTAAAGCAACAGTGAACGCAGCTGTTGGTGACGATGTCATTCATGCCACGGTGGGCTCTATTGGTAATTAACAACAAGCCTCCCTAACACGCGGCTTATCTGCTGCTGTGAAAACGGATTCGCGGGTGAAAAACCAAAACAAGTTGTTCTTTTAAATAAAACTGCTGACAAATAAAGAGAGAGATACGACAGGTGTATGTGTGTGCTTGTGTGTCTGACGGGAAAGGAAAGGTGAGCAGATTACTTTAGTTTGTGATTAAACACAAAAATGAATTGGAGAATTAGGTAGAATTAAAATGGTGTGCAATTTATTTTCAGCTTATTCCAGTGAAAATGCTGATGTTATTTTATAATCAGTGTTTCAATAGGACCATACAATTGAGACCAGTGAGAACAGCCAACATTTATACTGGTGCTGGTGGGGATCCTAATAAAAATAGATCTTTCAATAAATAGTTAAAAAAATGTTTGTGTATGCTGTCAGTTGTAGATCTTAGAAATAAATAAAATCGGAATCGGCAGGTCAGACCTCTTAAAAAATCAGTAACTGGAATCAGCCAGGAAAAATGTAATCTGTGTATCTCTTACTACAGCGATAACCCTGTGTGTGAACCGATATTAGGCTGATACCGTAGATCCATGTGTTGGTTTTTTTGCATATATATATATATATATATATATATATATATATGCGCTCCCGATCTACTGGTTGTGTTCCTGATTATTTTAAAACGGCTTGCGTGAAACCTGGTTTAGATCCCTCCCTCCCACATAATTTTAGACCAATTTCAAAACTGCCTTTTATTGCAAAGATTCTAGAAAGAATTGTGTCCAAACAGCTGCTCACTGTGCTGGAAAATAACAAATTATTTGAAAAGTTTCTGGTCTGGTTTTAGGAAGTACCACAGCACTGAGACTGCCCTGCTTAAAGTCACCAATGACCTTTTAATGTCTGCTGATGAAGGCATGTGCTCAGTCCTTGTACTCCTGGACCTTAGCGCTGCTTTTGACACCATTGATCACAACATCATGTTAGACAGACTGAGGCACTGGGTGGGGATCTCTGGTACTGCCCTAGAATGGTTTTCATCCTGCCTGTCAAATAGGAAGTTTTGTGTGTCTGTAAACAACTAGGACCCATTTTGTTTTCCTTGTATCTGCTTCCCCTTGGACATATTATCCATAAACATGGTATTTCTTTTCATATTTATGCTGATGACACACAAATATACTTGCCCGTCAGATCCACAGACCCTGGAATGCTGAGTTCACTTAACAACTGCCTTTGTGAAAATGGATGTCAAATAATTTCCT